GCAGAATAACTGTGCTGCATGGAAGGAAATAAGCAGCCTCACACTTTACCTTCTTTTAAAAAAGAAACAAGCAAGTGCCTGTCTTTATAAGTAATCACAGGGGGAAGGAGCTGAGAGTTCAGAACATGCGGCAGCTTCAGACTTAGAAATGTGGTTCAAAAAAACCCCCCAGGCATTTCTGTTTGTTTGGAAGGAGACAGCATCTTCCTTTCTACAGACTGTCTGTACAAGCAAAGCGTAAAATATGTAAAGATGAACAGAATTAAAGTAGAAAAATCACAATTTATATAGCGTTTAAAATAGTGCATTTTAAATGTACTATTGTAAGTTCATGATTAGTTTCTACATTGTAACTTACTGTTGGGACAGTACAGATCAGGTCACTTACTGTTGATATATTGCTAATATTCTTCTTAGTTGAAATACTGTTCACACGGGTATTTTGTGTTTTCTTCGCATAAGGAAATAAAATATTTCACGGTTATTCTTATAAAACTAGTCTTAAATATACAAACATAGGTTTTAAAGCTTATGATCTAACTAACATATCCATGTCATTAAGTATATACATGTTTTTCACATGTTAACCACATGTAAGCAATTTATTTGAGCTTTTTTATAAGTGTTTCAACATAGTAGCATAGTGAGAGATTCTTATTTTTCTGCGATAAGCATATAGTGTAACACCATAAAAGAACATCTTATGTTTGTACATATGAAATTCCATATTGCTAAATATTTTTAATTAGTTGGCATTCAAAGGCATTGGTTAGATCAGCATGCCCCCAGCAGCATCTCTGAGATTATGTATTATCTAAATCTGAATGTTTAGAACAAGCTAAAGAATTCTCAGATATGCAAGTAAAATATGCATTTTAACAGTGCATTTGCTTGGGGCAGGAAGGTGAGGTAGAAGTTTTCATTTTATAAAATGAGATTATAAAACCCAAAGTTAATAAAGCATTTAATATTTTATCTGTTTCACCCAATTTAGGAAATAAGTCATATTACATACATGGGAAAATTATTGTGAATATGGAAAGAATTGGCACAAACACGACTTCAGCATATAGTGAGTTGTGAAGCACCATGTTTGTTCTGTGACGGAGCCAAGAGAAGACATATGCCCCTTGAACTCCTGCCAGAACTATTAGGCAGAAAACCGACAGTATTGCTCCTCATATTCCATTCATGATTTATGATAATGGTTGCTGTGGAAGACTAAATCATTTACATTTATTGAGTTCTTTTTGTGTTTGCAATTTCAGACATTGTGGAAGGTCATAAAATCTATTACGTGATATACGCAGCTCAAAGAATGATAGCACAGGAATATGCCAGAAACTAATTAGAGGTAAACCAAGTGCAGTGGCTGTCTGTGCCTGTAGGTTGCTTGTGGCTCTTTTGTCAGGCTTCATTAGAGGAGACAGGCATTTTTCTGAAGGCGGAGGAATGGTGGTACTCAGATGCTGGGTCCAAATGTGGTGGAGAAGTTAGTGGTCAGGTGTTGGCAGCGTCCTTTGTTTCTGTGGGCATTGTTTCGTAACTACAGTTCACCTGCCATCTCCATTTTAGAAGCCAAGAGAATGGGAGGCAACATGTATGAATATCTTATGAAAAATGTGGCCATAAAAGATTACACATTGTAAGGAAGTTTTAGTAACAGCTGGTTCCCAAGCAGGAACTGCAGTGCATCACCAGCCTCCATTCAGCTCACTGAAGTGTGCCAGTATGCTTACGTTCTGAAACTCCTGAGAATTGTTTCCTGGTAATTAGTCCATTATCACCGATTTGGGACCACACCCATTTCCCAAAGGGTTGAAGCAGTGGCTTTAAGTAGTTAGAACACAGCCATATTCAGAGGTTCGAGGCACAAACTGATCACTGAAGCTGTAGTTGCATTCTCTTAGGGAACTGTCATCTGAAAAAAAATGTAATTATTAAGCCCAGAGCCGTTGACCAGGATCTTTGTTTTCTGTTCTGTATACAGCACAAAAATTACAGCCTTGGT